TTACATTTTGAGATATTAAAAATATTAAATTATTTGTTTGATGTAAATTTTCAAACGTTAACTATATACTAATAAAGATATTTTTAGATCAATATAATAAATATATTCGATTGACTCGAAAATATACATACATAACATTATGATATTGATAAATTCAGTAGGATTGTTAAAATGTCAATGATAAAAAAACGTATTGAAGTGTGTAAAACTCTTTTAATTTTACACTGATGTATCATAAATGTATATCACGTATGAAAAATATAAAGAAATACACATGTATTTTATATTGTTATAAAAAAAATTAAATCGAAATCAAATAATATCATAATATTATAACTATTTATAATTAAATTTAAATAGAAACTCAAAAATTCAATTCGACTTGACTCGGAAAAATTTCAAGTCAACTTCGAGTTGTAAAATAGGACTCACCGACTCGAATAACTCGAAATTTTTTGACTCAACTCGATCGAGCGCTCACCCCTAAAATACTCATAATTAGTATGCAAGATATAAGCTTAGTGGGCTTGTCAATTACACAAATAAAGCCCAAGAATAAAATGGGCTAAAAGGGTTCAATTTGTATAACTACTCAAACGCAATGTAGTTCTTATGTCAAATTAATTTTAATTTGGATTTTTCAACTAAATTGTCGAAATGATCACCTCCATTTCATAAATGTTTATTTTTTATTATTCATTTTAAAAAATTAATATTTTAGTTATTTACATTATTGATTTATAATGTTTTAATCGATTTATAATGTTTTGATTATTGGTATGTTAAATATCTTTAGTTTAATGATACGAAACATTAGTAAAAAGGATTATTTTTAATCTGAATTTTAAACTTAAGATAAAATACGAATTTAACCTCTACAATTATATAAAATATTAATTTAATCTTTAAAGTTTTAATAAAATAATAATTTAACTTTTAAATCTGATCAAAATCTTCGTTTGTAGTAATATTTTTCGTTTTAAAAGTTGGTGCAATTTAATTTTAAGTTTGAATTAAAAAATTATTTAAATTAATACTTTTTCCAAATTTATATCATTATAAAAGAAAAAATATAAACTTAATTATAATATAGATTTTAATGTACTTACTATGAATAAAGTCGTTAGTTTTATTAAAAAAACTCAATATTTACAACTATAACCGTAAACTAAAGACATATTAGGATATTTTTCTATACCAATTGATAAAATAAGCTAGCCACTTGAGTTCAAACAAGGACCAAATTAGAAAAAAGTTAAAAAGCCAACCAAAAAACCTCGAATAGAGATATATACAAATAAATCTGATTGCATCGGTAAACGAATTATAAAAGAGAATCAACTATTGAAAAGATCATCGACTCACATCTCAAATTCGAGCGATATGAGACAACTATCTAAGAATGTAATTTCTTATCTAAATCCAACCCGAGGACCTAAAGCATGAAAGATCAACAGATAACAAATAATCGTCATCTTGATTAGGCGAGATGTCATCAAATCCAACCTTGAGAAAAAATAAAACAAAAAGAATTGTCAAATTACCTATAAAAAAGACTGAAAGCATGCCAAAAGACAGAAAAATGTGCTATAAAAGTAGAGAAACACGTATCGTAAAAGTAGAGTTATTAAAGATTTTAAATAAAATAAACCAAACATGTAATATTAGAAAATAAAAGAAAAATAATGAATATCGACGATCAACAATCAATACTAAAATTGATGTCACCGTTAACCAAAGAAAAATTTAAAAAGGAAAGAAACTAAGGAATTTAAGTTAAATTTGTAGAATTTGTGAACCAAACGTTAAATTTGAGTTTAGGAGAATAAAGAAGAGTAAGTTAAAAATTTTATAAAATTTAATGATAAAAGCAATATTATATTTTAAATTTAAAAATTAAATTGATATTTTATTTAAAATTTAAACATTAAATTAATGATTCTTAACTTTATTATCTTAGTAATCAAAATATTATAAATCAATAATATTAATAACCAAAACATTATTTATTTTTTTTAAATATAATGACCAAAAGTGGATAATTAAGAAACAAAATTTACCTTTGTTTTTTTTTTTTTTTTTGAAGTGTTACCTTTGTTAAAGGGGAAGAAGAAGGGAAGGGAGAGCTTTCCCCTGCGTATTTCTTTAGAATTCAAAGGAAAAATCTTGAAAGTTTCTGGGTTCTACAGACAATACCCATAAATCATTCAAAGGCGTTAAAGATTGCTGATTATTTGAGAGAAAATGGGTGACAATCTATTCGAAGGATTACCGCCGCCATCTCATCATCAGCATCTAGAAGAAAAAGAAAACGAAGAACAGAAACACGAAGGAAAGAAAAGCAATGATCAAATTTCTTTTTCTTTGAAGAAAAGTAGCAGCACCAATAACAAGGAAGCTTCTCCAACGCCAGTTCTGAAGAGTGCTCTCAAGAGACCTAAGCCTAGTGAACCTGAAGGTAAAGCCCGCCCATAATTTGAAGGATTCTCTCTTTTCTGGGTTCGTAAAATTTTATGCCTTTTTTATTTGATTTTGAATTCCGTTTTCTGCTAGTTTATTTGCTACTATGAAGTGGAAATTGAAATGGGTTTTGCTTGATTGCATGATAGGAATTTGATTTTAGATGATGATTTTAGGATTTTGCATCATAATTCAGTTCATTTTTTTAGTGGGGGTTAAATTATTTCGGGTTAGGGATAATAGGGGCTTGGATTTTGAGAGTAATTTTCTTATTATGCATTAGGTTAATATGTATTGCAGTTTGGAAGAAAGTTCTTTGAGAAAGATAATTCAATATGGCCTTGGGGTTTTGTGAACATGCAATTACCTTAGCATTTTATTCCTTGGTTTGTAAGAGACTAGGAGAAAACAGGGATAAAATTTTGAGTTTCATGTTTTAGGTGTTTTTGAAAATTGAATTAGAAAGCAAGAAGAATCTTAGTCGCCAGATTATTTCGGCTATGTTTAATGACTTAAATCGATTCTAATTGTATTGGTTTCGATTTATGGAAGGATGGAGGTGGTGTATCCCTTTTAATGTCTAGTCTCTTTTTTTTCTTCAACTGAATAATAAATAGTACATGGCGTGGTTTGATTTTCATTCTGGTGGAAGGGGATGAGGGCAGGAGAATGAAGAAACTGAAGATATTTTGTTATGAGTAGAAATGCTTTGATTTGGCATAATAGGACTCAATGGGAAAGCACTTCTATTATTGTTTGTTTATTTAAAAGCTCTTATTTGGTTATTCTACTCAACAACTTTTCCCTGGAAGCTTATTCTTCGTTTTGGCTAAACTCTCTGGAAGTAGCTGATTAGTTATGCGTTGTACTTCCCAGCCGCTGTACAAGAAAAACGCTTGAGATTTAAGATGACAACAGATGCCTCAGAGACACAAGTTATTGAGGCAATGCAGAGGATTGCATCACATATCAAGAACCCCACCAAGTTTTCTAAGGCTTCAAAGCTTGCCATACAGCTGGTACAGGCTGGAAGCGTGAAGGCCGGAACTAGTGAACACTTTTTTGCCATATTGGAAGCTGCAATGTCATCAACTGCTTCTTGTACTGATTCTTCAGTGCGAGGCGATTATCATTCGCTGTTCACCGCAGCACAAGATGCAGCTGAAGTATGGTTTCGTTTATTTACAAATATAAGGTTTTACCACTTGAGCATATTCTCAATTTTTGTTTCGTTGCAGTGCCTAAACAAGAAGCAGAAGAACCAGCTGACTGTATGGACATTTAGGGCAGTGATGGCAAATGACTTTTTAACTGATGACAGCTTTGTCGTACGTAGTTTACATCGAGTTTTCCTTTTATTTGCTTGACTAAAATGCTTTGTGGAAATACTGTTTAAACCGATTCCCGTTTCGTACTTGTACAAAATTTGTTACTGATTGCGTGTTTATTCGTTGTTTCTGAACTTTATTACAGTTTTCAAAAACAGCTAGTAAATTAAAAGATGAAATATGTAGTCTTCCATTTGCAACTGAGGAGGATGACATAGATGAAGCTGCTACCCTGAAAGATGAGACTGAAACCGGGAATGATGATGATGCCAAACAAGCTATAGTTTCTTCAGCTGAAGAGAATAACAAGGATGAGTCTGATCCATTTGGACTCGATGCTCTAATTCCTAGATCTGGGAAAAAAGATGATAGAACAAAAGGAAAGAAAGATGCGACAACTAAGAGCAGGAAAGATGACGAGGAAGACACTAAGAGATTTCTTCAGTCAAAGAGAGAAGCCTTGATTTCTTGTTTAGAGATTGCCGCTCGACGTTATAAAACGCCGTGGTAAGTGTTCATTGTTTGTTGCTGCTAATTAAAGGATAGGGAATTCTGCTGTTAGATAGTTGCTTATGTTGATTTTATTTAGGAGATTAATTGTTGCTTGTTGTATTCTTCTTAGGTGCCAGACAGTTATAGACATATTGATAAAGCATGCATTTGACAATGTAGCAAGGTTTACGTCTCGACAACGGGATGCCGTTGAAAAACTTTGGGCTTCTGTTCGGGAGCAGCAAATCCGTAGGAAGCAAGGGAAATCTGTTTCGGGAAAACTCGATGTGAATGCTTTCGAATGGCTTCAGCAAAAGTATTCTACCGAGAAAATCAGTATTCGGCATTCCGTTGGAGCTAGCGGGGACCGTCGTTGTCAACAATGGCTTGGTTAAACACACTTGCTTTCCTGTTGTTCAGAAGGATTATGATGTTAGCTGTTATCCAGAAAACAAATTGAAATCATTGATTGGTATCTATTAATCTGAATGTAATACTCTTCAAGTGTGTAACATTTTTAAATGAAACAATTCTGGATACTTGGTTTCCTTTAGATTGTTTCCCATAACGACCTCTTCCTTTTAATGAAAATGATTCCCAAGAAACGCTTCTTTTTGGAGTCTTGAATCAAGAAAACTCCTTTCAAATGAACTCCATGGCTGTTGTTGAAGATGTTGAAACAGAAAAGGAGGTTCGTTGCAGAGGAGTTCGAAAGAGGCCATGGGGGAAATATGCAGCCGAGATCAGAGATTTGTCATGATCCATGAGGCTGAAATGGAGAAGGAATTGGGGAACCAGGAGGCGGTAATGGACTGAGAAGGAATTGGGGAAAACGAGAGAATTAGGGATTTTGGGGACAAATGAATTGAAATCGATGGACCAAGCGGGAAACATACCTGAAGAGGAGAACGGGCTGTGTGGATTGAATGAGTGTGGACCAGAGAAGAACAAACCCAAATTGGAGAACCAGAACCCAACAGTCTGCAGTGGAGTCCAAAAGATAAAAACAGTTAAAGGAATCTAGTTGTTAGGCAAGGACAGTACAACTGGCAATAAATCTAACAAATTCAACTATATGTTGGTTGTAAAAGAACGAATGAAATTATGAATGAAAATACTGAGTATTCTGTTTTCTTCAATCTATCTTCTCTATTCTCTTAATCTTTTCTAAAATTCTCAAGCAAATCATCACAATTGGTAATCAGAGCACGGTTTTTTGATCCAAAAAGTACATAATTTTTTTTTCAAACTGGGTAAATCAAAGAAAACACAACAAATGTCTTTTACTGAGCAACCACCGGATATTCCTGCTGATCCAGCAGAGTCTTCTGAAGCTGAAGTGATTCCCACTTGGTGGCTTAATCAACAGAGTGCTTTGGAACAGAGGATGCAGGCTTTAGAGACTACCACAAATGAAACGAAAACCATGCTTTAACAACTTTTGGGATTGATGCAGAAGGCTGGGACTGAATCAGGACATTCTTCTCCTACAGAAAGGCAACCATTACCTATAGTTCAGCTTAAAGAACCTAGGGTGTTCATTCGGTTAAAACGGTGGCCGACCGAACCGAATTAACCATAATCGAATTAACCGAATTTGTTTTTCTTTAACCATTAACCGAACCGAACTTTTTTATGAAAAAATTAACCGAACCGAACAAATTTCGGTTAATTCGGTTAATTTTCGAATTAACCGAAATTTTTAAAATTTTTGAATTTAATATTTTTTAATTAAAAAACAGTTTACAATATCTAATTAATTTGATTCAAACATTATATTAAAATAAGATATTTGTATCTATCAATTTAGTTCAAAAATAACCAACAATAGAACTTCTACCAAATAAATCAGAACAAAGTGCAGAATGTAGAACTGGAAGCATAATTCAGTATACAAACCAAGCATAATTCAGTATACAAACAGTTTACACTTTAAGTGTTGGTGCATGAAGAAGGTTGTGCTAACTACTAAGTTGTTTGCTGATGCTGTCATACCAACCAAGATGTTCTCTATCAAGTGTAGAATAATTCATATCTTAAGAGAACATATTACCTGCACAGTGCACAATATAAAAATAAAGAGATGCAAAATTCAGCTCGAACTATCAAAAACAATAAAAACAATCCAAGGTATAAACATCAAATATATCTATTAAGTATCAACCAATGCTAAAATTATAAGTGCTAAGCTAACTCAATCTAATGTAATACAATCTTATTTCAGGTTGATGAAGCTCTTATTAAGGTAGCAGGCCCAAAAGCTTATTTCATGCATTGTTTGCCTGTTGAACGAGGAGTAGAACTGACTGACAGTGTTATTGAGGCTCCAAACTCCATCGTCTTCCCACAGGCAGAAAATCGCATGCATGCACAAAATGCTATAATGCTTCATGTTCTTGGATTATAATTGCATGGCATTGCTGCATTTTTTTAAAGAAAGATGGCATTGTATGTTACCTATGGAACTCCATTTTCATCGTAGACAAAAATCAAAACTTTTGTGAGTTTTGATTGCTTTTTCATGGGTGTAAGGGTTTGAAACTTGAGAAATTTTAGAATCTAACGAGGTGATTACAATAAAAAATATAACACAATCTTATTCAGTAAACATCATCACTTAATCATATCTGTGCTAACTAATAACTAATCTGGCTAATGAAATTAAAATGAATGTAAGGGAAGAAATTACCACAAAAAAACAGTATTCAAAATACTCCTTTTGCACCAATTGAATCCTCCCAAAAAGTTTCCATTTGCATTATCTCTACAAGAAAAAGATATTTTTTAAGTCTAAAAATACAGTATAAAAAACCATATATATAAATTAAAAAATACATTGCAATAATGCAATTTACAATTAATGCATACCCTTCAACTCATACTCACAGTACTGCAGTGCAGAATCCTATGAGCTTATGAATTGAGGGTAGGTTGTAATGCATTCCAAGATAAATCTAAAAGTTAAAATGATTAAATCAATTAATGTAGTGTCAGTTCTCCTCAAAGTAAATTCACTTATTAAATTAAAATTAATTAATAAAGAATCAACATACCATTATTAATCTTGTCAAGCTCTTGAATTTGTTCTTCAAACTTCTTGATCTCCTCTTCGGTTGATGACTTTTTAATATAGTCTTGAGTACACACAAGGGCTTGTACCATTTTAGGAGTTAAAGAACTCCTAAATTGATCAAGCACATGTCCACTGGTACTAAATGCAGACTCTGAAGCGACGGTAGAAAGCGGTATAGCTAATACATCTTTGGCCATATTTGACAGAACTGAAAATCTAGGGCTATTGACTTTCCACCATGACAAGATATCAAATTCATCATCATAATTCTCAACAGCCTCCCCTAGATATTTATCTAATTCAGATGTTTGATCCTCACCACAAATTTCAATCACACGCCTTTTAAACAAATCTTTCATGCGTCTTTTCACTTTTTGTTGCGGTTCAGAAATTCTCACATTTAAATGGTTTCCATCATTAGAGACTCGAGGCTTATACTCATCATACAATTCATTCAAAGTCTCTTTCAGCTTTTGCATCACTTCAAAACTTTTTTCCGAATCATACATCTCACTAAGTGCAAATTCAAGATAACTTAATTTCTGCCTAGGATCTAAAACACAGCCAACAAAAACAAGCATATTCATCTTCTCAATATCACCCCAATATTTCTCAAATTTATCTTTCATCCTCATGGCCATAACACTAAATTCAACATCAGCACTTAATTGAACATCTCTTAAAAGTATGCAAATTTCAGTAAGTTCATCAAAAAAATTGTTAGATGTGACATATGAAGTACATGAAACCCGCAAAGTGACTTTATAAAAATGTTCCAAGAAATCCCTCAAGTTTCTAACACAAGTCCAATCATTTACAGTTGGCCATCCCTCTCCCAACTCAAGTTCAGCCCTAAAATTTGAATCTTGCTCCTCAAATCTCTCAAAAGCTCTGTCAAATTTTTCAACAGTGTCTAACATTAAATATGTAGAGTTCCACCTAGTACAAACATCAAGACATAACATTTTTTTCTCTCAATTTTTTCCATCTCAACACACTCCATGAACTTTTTCAATCTAGCTGGAGATTGTCTCACATATTTCACAGCCCCCTAACACGGCAACATATTTGTTCATTTCCTTTAAACCTTCAACAACAATCAAATTCACAATATGTTTAATACATCTTATATGAAGATATTTACCATTTGCAATGCAACCCCCTCGAGGACTAAATCTCTTTCTTAAATAACCAATAGCAACATCATTCGAAGTTGCATTGTCAATGGTGACAGTGAATAACTTATCAATCCCCCAATCTAATAAGCATTTTTCAATCATCAGCCTAATTGCATCTCCTTTATGACTAGAAATTGGATAAAAACTTATGATTTTCTTATTCAATTTCCAATCGTTATCAATAAAGTGCACAGTGAGACACATATAATTAACTCTTTGTATAGAGGTCCACGTATCAGTAGTTAAACAAACTCTAGAACATGAACTTCTTAAATATTGTTTCAACTTAGTCCTTTCATCCAAGTACAACTGATAAATATCTCTAGTTATAGTCAATCTTGAAGGAATACGAAACTTGGGCCATGCTACAGACATAAATTTTCTAAATCCTTCACTCTCAACAAACTTGAAAGGCAATTCATCAGTCACAATCATTTGGGCTAAAACCTTTCTAGTTGTTTCTTGATCAAATTTCCAAGTTGTGAGATGTCCTACTTCTCCTCGAATATCCTTACTAGGTAACACTAAATTGCTTTGATTAGTGTCAATGTTGTTAGGATTTTTATTACATTGTTTCATGTGATATAGTAATGACCCAGTTCCATTTTTTCCCATCACAACAAAATTCTTTCTCACAATGATTGCATCTACCCTTGCCTTTACCCTCACTATTTAAAAACTTAGTAAAGTGAGTCCATACTTCTGACCTTAAAGGAATAGCTTTCCGTTTACTTTCAGTCCCTCTTGTGTTGTTGATTTGACTTGAAGCTTCAGTCGTTGAATTTGTAGAATTTGATAAAGGGGGTGAAACACCTCCCTTAGCAGATACTGCCATATTGGATATCTACAGCAAAATATGAGAAGTAAAAAAAAGTAATAAATAATCACATTAAGATAACATAACTCAAAATAAATCAGAAAGCATAACTAATACCATTTTTTATTACAAAATAATACATTTCACGAATGACTATTTAAAGACTGACACCAAAAATCTCAAGTAGAATATTTACACTGGAGTGATAAATAAACCAAATACAGGGAAAAAGGATAAAAGCAAATGGTTCACTACTTGTTCATTATAATTATCGCCTCACCCTCAAAATTTTCAATTTGCATAAAAAATATTTAGTTTTGTCATTGTTTAATTGTTAGACCACTGGACTTCAATTTCCAAATTCTGTGATGGCCCGGTTTTACTTTTCCAAAGGAACTTAAATACCATTTGATTACTAAAGCTCATTCTCATTTGGATTTTAAAGAAGTTGGGTAAATATATAATTGGAAAGAAAGTTGAAATTCACCAGGCCTCTGACAATTCATCCTAATATTTGGCTTTCTCTTTACTACTGAAAAAACCACAAGTCAAGATGTAAATTGGTGGCCTATGGCTTTCTAGATCTTTTGCACATGTTCACTTATGAATTCGAGCTCTAGAATTAGAAAGAAAAAAAAGGATTTGTGTAGTAGTTACCCAGGCACAACCATTATTTCCTCTGTAAGCAAGGTTTTATTTTTCTTTTTATATCCAATTTTAAGAGAAGCAAATACATAGATATTGTGACCAAGATATGAGAAAGAGAGAGATGAACAAGACATTCAACACATAGAGCCATAGTCAGTGTTTTATAGTACAATGAAACTAGATTCATTACCACCAGTGACTTCTATTCGTTACTGTTTTTTCTTCTCAAATTCTGGTGTCGTCTAAACGTTATAGAAAAAGGTCCCAATAATCCAACTAATTTCATATAATTACCAGCAACGGTAAACTGTATCATGCTTTTGCTTTATTAGGAAAAAATAAACTGCGTATCGGGATTCAAGCAAAGTTTCAGAAGACTTGATTCAGGTGGTTGTTAAGCAAATGTAATATATATGAAGAAACTTTAAATTACAGAAGTAGAACTTTTCTTTAACAAGTTTTTATTTGTGCCTACACTCGTAAATTGTAACCAATAGGAGCTAAACATGACAATACACAAAAGGTTTTTTTTTCAAAAATAAAAAATAAAAAATTAGGGGACGGGTTATCCGGGGTTTGAACCAACACTGAATGTCAATTGAATATAATGTTATTGAAACATACATACATAACCTTACAGAGCAGCAACCCAGGAAAATCTAAATACTTGAAACTAATAGAACAAGAAAAGCACAATCATGAAATATTGAATACCTTAAAAAACCTAGAACAAGAAGGCCACCAAACAGAATCAAACAAGTGATTAAAATTTTTAGGGGAGATGTAAACTAATCAAAGAGAAAATCTAGAATTTTTAAGTTAGAAAACTAACCTGAATCGAGATTAGAGAGACTGAGAGAGAGATAGAGAGAGAAGGAATGAAGGTTTGATGAAAGGCGAAAGCTCGGGTGGGGGTGAGGAACTGCGAATCGTGAGATGAGAATGAGATTGGTAAAAGTTTACATTTAGTTTTTAGGTTATTTTATTTTATTTAGTTTTAAAATTTAAATGGATTTTAAAATTTAAATGGGCAGTGGGCTGCTGTATGAGTCTGATGGGTTGTGGCATGTGGCTGAGTTATATATATATATATATATATTATATGTATTTAATTCGGTTAATTAACTGAATTCAAACCTAATTAACCGTTAACCGAATTCTAAAACTTTTCTTAACCGTTAACCGACGGTGGCCGACCGAATTAACCGAACTAATTCGGTTCGGTCGGTTAACCGAATTAGTTCAAAAATTTGAACACCCCTATCGATACCTGAACAGAAGCCTGAATTGACTAGGACCATAGAAACAATAGCCAGAATGGGACACTCCCTAAAACGGTGCTTCCTAGACCCACATCGAAAACACGCTCCAGTCTTCCTCCAACACTCTCCCATATGTCTATTGTTACAATAAGAGCACAGAGGTACCTCATAAACACCCTTCGAAACTCTAACACTAACAGTTAGAGTAGCATATGTCACCAGTCTAGCCTTAAAACAACACTGAGAGACCAAATTATCTCTCGATCTCTTACCGAACTGATTCATATAAGCTGTTTGAGTAGGTGGTACTAGTTTTCTTCGAGTTTTATTATAATAGTGGGGTTTAGGACCTAGTTTTAAAATATTATCCAAAAGAATGGCTATCAATACATCTCATTTACTAAGAATCGAGTTTTTCAAACGTTCCCACAATGGTTTCGACTTTATTTTTGGTGCCTGCAAAATGGAAGGTAACAACTTAGTTTTTAAAGGAGCTAAGCGTGAATCTGAATCAACAAATGTTTTTTTAACTCGCTCAATTCGTTGTCTTTCCCCTTCAATTCCCCTGCACAAATCATTAGAAAAATTAGTTTTCTCAAATTTATCAATAATTGGTTCAATAATATTAACGAAATTAAGGCTCGTAACATTATTGGGATATCTCATCGCTTTATAAACATCAAACTTAACTACCTCACCGTCAAATTCCATCATAAGAATTCCACTTCTTACGTCAATTTTCGTATGTTAAATGCTAAGAAAGAGACGTCCAAGAAAGATTTTAGAAGAAGTATTCGTCTTGTCGTTTTCCATGTCAATGACATAGAAATCCGCCAAAAAGATAAACCCGTTTACCTTAACTAAGACATTCTCCAAGAGTCCTTCAAGATATATTACCAATCGATCTGTCAGCTTTGTTGTCACTCTTGTATCCTTCAAGGGCTCAACAAAAAGTAAATTGTACATAGATAAAGGCATTACATTTATAGATGCTCCTCAATCACACATTGCATTATTTATTCTAACCTTATCGATCTTACAAGGTATAGCAAACATACCTTGGTCCTTAAACTTCGGTGAAATCCATAGCCAGAAAATGGAAGAAACATACTCTCCCAGATTGACCTTCTTGTTCCTGGTAAGTCTTCTTTTTTTAGTCCAGAGGTCCTTCAAATATCGAGTATACCTCAAGACCTTTCAGATTACTTCAATGATAGGTATGCTAATTTATAATTTCCGGAAAATGTCCAAAATCTCATTCTCCTTGGCTTGTTTATCTCTTTTAACTAACCTCGAGGAGAAAAGAGATGGAATAACATTGGGAGATGGCGCTGGATCGGATGGTGACTCATTTCTCTTCTTTTTTTGGATCTTGCTTTATTCCCTCTTTCTCTATGGGATCTCGTGTCAACTGTTTCTTATTCTCTCTAGGTTATCGACTCTTCTTCTTTCTTCTGGGATTATGCGCCTACCTCCTCTAGGACTGGTTGTGTAAGAAATGTAATGCTTCTGAGGGTGATGGTGCTAACATTCTCTCATGGGTTCGCCTCGATTTGATATGAAAGCTTTTCTTACGATTCTAAACGCCCCACGGTCTTATCCAGTTAGTTCATTTGTTTTTCAAGATCTTGAAAGCAAACTTTAGTGTGATTCTAGAACTGCTCATACGATAGAACCAACCGTTCGATGATTGATTCCAACGATGACTTTGATGGTTGATACGACTGTGGTGGAGGTGGCCTTGGTTGATAGGCTTGATTAGGTATCAGATTTTATACATAGCTGAAATTTGGATGATCTCTCCACCTCGAGTTGTAGGTATTTATATGAGGGTTGTAAGACCTTTAGGGAGGTCTCGAAAAATTGCCTATCGTGTTTACTTGTGCATTATAATCTTCCTGTAATATTAGGAAACAGTGTGTTGAATGATCCGACATTGTGCATATTCCGTATAACCTCGCTACTCCGATTTTTCCTGAAATAAAAGAATTAACTATATCAATTAATTTATCGATTTTACTTTCTAGTGAAATAGTAATTATCTCGTGAAGCCCATCAACTAGGTTAAATTGAAGAGCCAAACTATTGAGAGTTGGCAGCCATTATAGAAATTAATTCTCTTGTCACATTCGAAGTCATGTTGACGAGAGCTCCTCCACTAGCACCATCGACCATTTTCATCTCCAAAGGAAGCAGTATTTTGTAGAAGTATTGCAAAAGCGTTTGCTCAAATAATTCGTGTTGCAAACAACTCGCAAAACTTCTTAAATCTTTCCTAATAGTCATAAAGTGACTCTCCATCTTTTTGTCGGATTCTTAGAATGCTTCTTCTCAATTCACTTTCTTTTTCTATTGGGTAAAACATGTCAAGAAAAATTTAAGTTAAATCTTTCCATGTATTGATAGAATTTGGTGGTAAGTAAATAACCATTTTTTCTAAATCAGATAAAGAAAAAGGGAAAGCTCATAATTTAATTTGGTTTTTGGATACTCCCTGAGGTTTCATGTTTGAAAATATTATATGGAATTCTATGACATGCTTGTGCGGATTCTCACTAGAAATCCCGTTGAAGGTTGGAAGAAGATGAATAAGCCCCGTTTCAAGCTGAAACAAAGTTTCTCCTTGAGTTAAAGTGATGCAAAGAGGTTGTTGAATGGTGGGTGCCCAGATGGTGCGATTGTCTATTTGTTCAGGTGCTATTGGAGTGGAATACGATTCAGTGTTTGAAGTAGTATCGAGTATTGGTTCTTCATGGGTGGTTTCATCAGATGATTCTTCGGGATTTGATTGTTCTTGTCGTCATCTTCTTTTCTCTTGAAGCATTTGTCCACGAATTCTTCTAGCTCGTGCTTCGATCTCCAGGTCAAAATATTCTAATTCGTCTGGGTTTCACCTAGTCATAAATAAAAAAAACCAAATCAATAATTTGTTAAAGTCCCCAGTAACGGCGCCAATTTGACAAGCATCGTTTTATTGTCAAATAAATTCCTTATTCTCAAAGAAATAAAATAAAGTAGTAATAGTGAGAAGAATGGTCGACCAGCAGGGACTTGGAACTACTGATGTAGATGGCTTTTGATTTTGGTGTCAGGTGAAAAAGTAAGGTG